GATCAGGGCCTTGTTTGCGAACATGCAAGTACATCATTAAAGCCGGTTCAATCGTTGTTGAACCGGCTCTTTATAATATAATCTCACTGGTTTACTTGCTGCCGTTATTACCTGGTAAAGGTTCGCTGGTATTATTTACCCGCATATTGCGATAGGCATTTTTTTGAGCACCATCATAGGTAGGCGCGTCATCGCCATAATAGGCGGAAGGCCTGCTGATGCCCGTCGGAGCATGACCATAAACGGTATAGTTCTTCAGGTTATAATACGGGCCGTTTACGGGTTGTGTCCAGGTGTTCTTACGCTGAACTGGTGTTGTAGCGGTTACTTCTTCGCTGCTTGGCATTTTTAAGGCTTTATTCCACTCAGGGCTATAAGCATTGTCCAGGCTGTGATCGGTACAGGTAGCGGCTGGGCAATTACCTTTTTGTTTCATTTTCTTTACTCCCTGGGCTGAGGCCGGTACTGCCATCCATCCGAGCAGCAAGGCGGCGATTAATATCTTTTTCATAATCGTTGGTTTTAAGTATTCGTAATACAATCCTCACAGAGACATTTGCAAATAGCATACCATCATTTGCTAAGGAAGTCTTAAAGGATGCATTGAATGCTGGGATAGCGGAGCAGATACGGACAACGGTTATATGGGTATTAAACAGAAGCGCCTGTAACACATCCGTTACAGGCGCTCTTAGCAGATAATAAAAACAATTAGCGGATCAGGGTTACACTGCCCTGATGTTTTTCAGAAACGCCATTCGCAAAAATGGCTTCAATCAGGTAAATATAGGCACCCTGTGGTTGTACCGCGTCATTGAACCTGCCGTCCCAGCCGCGGCCATCATTCTTATTGGTTTCAAAAATGATCTGTCCCCAGCGGTTAAAGACCTGCATCCGGAACAATGTCAGCTCGCGTGATAAAACATTACGCGGAAAGAAATAGTCGTTCAGTCCGTCACCATTGGGTGTGAAGCTATTTGGTACATTCAGGTAGCAGGATTTAACTACTTCCATTTCATCAGCAGTGCTGCAACCGTTCACCGATACGGTAGCATTGTAAATACCGGGCTGGGTAACCATAATGCTGCCCGTTGTTGCACCTGTATTCCATAACCAGGAAGCGGCCGGGTTATTATTGTTGATCCGGTCGCTGATTAAAATAGGCGCATCACCCGGGCACATGGAAGTGTCGGCTCCAAGGTTTAGTTGCGGGTATGGACGGATGGTTACGTCTTTTTTAGCGGTATCATTCC